GGTGGGAGCTACATCATATTGATATCAATAATGCTTTCCTTCATGGCTTTTTGGATGAAGAGGTGTATATGTTACCACCTAAGGGATATGATAAAGCCAAGAAGGGAGAGGTTTGCTTGCTGAAAAGGAGTTTATATGGTTTAAAACAGGCTTCGAGGCAATGGAACATTGAATTTTCAGAAAAACTGCTCAGTTATGGCTTTACTCAGTCCCCTCATGATCACTGCATGTTTATTAAGATTTCAGGTTCTTCAACTCTAGCATTACTGATTTATGTTGATGATGTCCTTGTTGCTGGAGATTCACTGAGTGCTATTGCGGACCTCAAGAAATACCTTCATAATCTTTTTACTATCAAGGATTTAGGGAAGGCAAAATACTTCTTGGGTTTGGAAATTTGCAGTACTGGGAAGGGAACTTATCTCACCCAGAGAAAGTACATACTGGACATAGTTCGTGATCTTGGTTTGGAAGATTGTAAACCAACTATGACTCCAGTGCCCCCAGGAATAAACCTGTCATCACAGGAGTCACCAACCTTTTCAGATTCTTCACTCTACAGGAGACTCATTGGGAGATTATTGTATCTGAATCTTTCAAGAGCAGATATCTCTTATGGTGTCCAGCAACTTAGCCAATTTGTTCAAAACCCTTCACAGGCACATTGGAATGCTGCTGTTCATTTGGTTAGATATTTGAAGGGCACTCCTACTTTCGGCCTTTATTATGCAACAACTCCTTCACTACAGCTCGAGGCCTTTTGTGATGCCGACTGGGGTAGTTGTGCTCTGACCAGAAAGTCACTCACTGGATATTGTATTTTCCTTGGACAAGCTTTGGTGTCATGGAAGACTAAAAAGCAGAAAACCGTTTCTCGATCCTCAGCCGAGGCCGAATATAGATCCATGGCCAGCACGGCTTGTGAGCTTCAATGGCTTACATTTCTGGGTGCCGATCTTTCTCTTTCCTTATCCTCTCCCATTTCTCTGTGGTGTGACAACAAAGCAGCTCTCCATATTGCAGCAAACCCGGTCTTTCATGAGCGTACAAAACACCTTGATATTGATTGCCATGTGGTGCGCAATCTTTACAAAGATGGTTTTCTCTTTCCTCGTCACATCTTATCTTCTCTCCAGCCAGCGGATATGTTCACTAAATCTCTGGGCCGTGGTGATTTTCAGCGTTGTGTTTGCAAGTTGGGAATGTGTGTTAACCCTCACCTTCCCACTTGAGGGGGGGGTGTTGACATGGTTATGCATTGGGGTGTTGAAGACAGCTGAAGTTTTTGTTATTTTCGATTTTTTTTTCTTTTCCTTTATGTTTACTACTTGTAAAGGCGTGAGTCACTTAATTGACTCGTGTTTACGCCTCTTATCTGTTTTTTATGTTTTCCCTTTACTTTCTTATTTTCCACGTGTTGCATCTTGATAGGGTGAGTCTGAGCTGAGGGAACATTATGTACTCGCTGCGATCGTCTTCTTCTTTTTTGTGAGATCTGGTTTTGTAAGCTGTTGGCTAATGAAAAAATGGTGTTTCAAAAGATTGATTTCGTTTTAGTTTAGCTCGTATATTTTGATTTCCAGTTTCTACAATATTTATTTATTTTGTCAGCAGTGTGTACGATAAATGTGATGTGGAACTTCTTTTTTTTATTTATTTATTGGTTTGGAGTTTGACTATTCCTTTTACATATGTTTTTATTTTTTTTTATTTTTTTTTACAAAGAAAGGAGGCCGGAGTCTAATATTTATAGATAGTTATATTCCGTGGATAAGCAACGCACAGACGTCGTGCGTTAACCACGGCTTGACTTCCATTGGTAGATCAAGTAGTCTCTGACAACCATTAGGACATGAGTGGGCTAACGTCGCCAAACAATCCGCAGCAAAATTTGTTTCCCAATAACAATGTGCAATATGCACTATCCATTAGTCCGACTCTTTTTTTTTTTTATAATAAAAATATNATTGCTAGTACGTAGCCCGTGCTATGCACGGGACATAAGTATCAAATGAGTCATTTCCACAGAGCTTGTCCGTTAAGTAGCTCGTGCGATTCACGGGAGATATTAAATGAGTGGACCATATGGCTTGTCTGTTCAGGCCTAAAAAATAATTGAGTTTGATCATCTATCTTTTTACATTTTTTCATCAACGTCATTTTTTTTTTTCGGAACATTAAATCTGAGTCTGGTAGCGCAAGCCCGTAAATTAATTAATATATTATCTCGCTCACATGTTTATAATAATATAAATTTGATTTCATTATATACATATATTTATTCCTTGATATAAGAAAAATAACAATTTTACGTAATCTTGTTTCTCGTATAATACTCCTATTATTTTATTATAAAATTTATTGTAATATAATTTCATTATTATTATTTATGCAAGTTATTGATGTAGTCTTCTTCTTCTTTTTGTTTTATATAATTAAAATATTTAAGGTATGTTCATATTATTTATTAATGTAATTAATTTAAATTATGTAAATAAAAAGTAAAACATTTTATACAAACATTTTACAAAACATAACACAAATGTTTTTTTAGAATTTAATTTTTTTTTATAATAAATAAACATCTTTGAAATTCTATGCAATTATTAAACATCCTTGATATAAATTCGAAATCATAATTGAATTCTATGGAATTATTAATTCTGTCTGATGTTATGAGAAACAATTCATTCGGAAATGATTATATGTAAGTTGAGATAAAATGAAATGTATCAAAAAAAATCAGCTTATGATATTTTCCTTTAGATATTTGAATGAATTTGAAATTCAAATTACAAATCGACCTCCAGTTATTCAAATAATTTTAAAAAATTTAACAATTGTAGTAAAATGTACGCGACAATATATTATAAATATACATGACGTCAGTAATGTTATGAATCTTTAAGTTCCTAAAATATATATTGTTTAGATATGAAACTAATTAACTTATATGTTAAGAAAATATATATAAATATATGTATTGTACAAAATATACACGTGACAAGTTATTATATTTGTTTATATATTGTTTGCGTTGTTTATTATATTTGTATATAAATATATTGTTTATATATTTTTCTGTATTGTACGACAAATTATTATATTTGTTTATGTATTGTTTAAATATATGTTATTTAGATATGAAACTAATTAACCTATATGTTAAGATAATATATATATAAATATATGTATTGTATGAAATCTTTAACGTGTTTGTTAAATTTTTCTCCTAAAAAATTCAAAATACATTTATGCATGTTTTGTTTGAAGTTTGAAATGTAAATATGCATCTATATAACAAATCCCATGATTTATGCTAGCATTAAATGCTACTTGATTTTTTATTAAAAAAAATTAAAAAAACATACCAAAAATGGAATGCAATTAATATTCCCTATTTTTTTGCTTACTATTTTTGAAAAATGTTAATTCTTATTATATATATACTAGTACAGAGCCCGTGCGATGCACGGAGTGCACAATTTTAAGGCTATTTATCCAGGTTTATAATTATATACATAAATAAAGAAAAATATACGGGATATATATAGTACATGACCCGTGCGAAGCATGGGATATTTTTATTTGGAGAATATTATATTATAAGATGCAATATTCAATAAAAGTTTATAATACGCAAGAAAATTGTACAATGTTCAATAAAAGTTTTATAATATTCAAGTGGAGTCTTAAAGTCTCTTGTACATTAAGACTACTGACAAAATAATATTTTAATCAATGAGTTTCCTTTCCTTGTAGCCAAATTGTGAATGTGATTTGAGGAGTACAACAAATCGATATAAGTTGACTTGCTTTTTTCATTGTAGTTTTTTTTTCCTTTTTTTTTATAATGAATTTAAAGATATTCTAAAATATAACAAAAATTAATTTTTTTATTAAAATTAGGAATTTTACTAAATATAGACTCTCAATCTATGGTGTTAATCAACGTTTAAGTCTAAAAAATTAGGAATTTTTACCTCTTTTAATCAACGTTTAAGTCTAAAAAACAATAGAGTTATTATAAGTTTTTTTCTATATCTTTTAAAACATTAAATATGAGCATGTTAGGGCTAGCTTGTAAAATAATTAATATATTATCTCACTAAACATTTATACTAATAAAAATTTAATTTTAACATATAAATTTATCCCTTGATATAAGAGAAAGTAACAGTTTTACTTATTGTTGTTCACCATATAATATTTAATTATTATTTTATTACATAATAGAAAAAGAATATTGTTAAATAGTGTTGTAGAATAGTTATAAAATTATATGATTTTTTTTTACAATATGGATTTAATATTTTTTTTATAATTTGATAATATAAACAAATTTATACTTAACTTTGACAAATAAAACAAATAAATACTTTAGTAAGTATTTAATGTATATACTAAATAGGAATATATTTGGTATAATCAAATACCAAATATAATCAAATAAGTCAAAGTGTACATTTTTATTTGGTATTTAATTTTTTTATTATTAAAATCTTTTTATTATACTTACCTTTTTAAAATAAAACAAATAAATAAATTAATTAAATAAATAAAATATTATAATACCAAAATAGTAATGACATTTAATGCAGTTGACTTTTATGGATAGTAAATGTAGTAAATAGAATCTCCTTTTATATAAGTATAAATATGATATTATATTATATTGCTCAAAATAGTAAGACATTTATTGCATTGACTTTTCAACTTACTAAATTTCGTAAATGGTACCCCTTATTATATAAGTATAGATTGATTTTCAACCATGTTTACTTTCCCGGGAAATGCTCCTCTATCCACAGTGAGCACATTTTAATATGTCCACCTCTTATGTGGCATGCACACATTGGTGATATTAATATATTAAAAAAAATACATCACCAATGTGTGCATGCCACATAAGAGGTGGGCATATTAACATGTGTCCACCGTTGGTAGGGGAACATTTCCGTTACTTTCTCATAGAAAAAGGCCACAAGCAATGTAAGGGTGTCCAGAAAAGGGAGTGCAAACATTCTCCAACTCCGAGTCAAAAAATCCAAGAAGGCACAATAATCAGTGACATTCAATCGCTATATACATAATCCAATTCTACATTTCACATTGAGAATCATAATCCATGGAATCTCTTGTCTACAATTTTTAATACACTTTCCTATGGCAGAAAATGTACAAATCCACACATATATATACACATATATATACATAAACAGTTGTATGAGCAGTTCTTCGGGTATTCGTCACATATTTTTAGCTGAAACGGGCAGCTATAAGTCCTTGGAAAGACCCGAGCAACGCAAACATCGCAATACAGAAACAAACAGTTTGGAAAATCCTAAGAACAGTCCATTTTCCTGTCCAGGGTCCGATTTTGTTCTGCCTCAACCACATCTCAACCGGGAAATATATAGCCAGGGGCCAAAATGTGATGGCCCCACTAACTCCAAGGACCTGATTGAAATATGGAAGAACCATGGCAATTGCAGTGGTTGAGGAAACATAGGCTGTCCTAAAGCTCAGCCTTTGGAGATTCAAATTCCATTCCGGCAAAAGGGGAAGTTTGATAATGTACTGTTTGTTCACAAACGTGCTGCCTGGAAATCGATCGGCCGACCATTTATCCATAGCTGCAAATACTGGTTGAGTATATATCTGAAAGACTTGTAAAAACACGACGAGTTAACCATGTTTACTAATAAAAGTGAGACTAGGTTAAGTGAAAATTGAAAATTTACTGCTTCTTGTGCATAGTAGAGGACATATCAGAATAAAATGCAAAATCAGAATCATAAGCTTGAAAATGCACTCATTTTTCAAATAAAAGTTAAGAATCATTTCTTTTGCTTCTCTCTTAACACATTAGCACACATTCCCTTCAAACACAGGTACTTTTTTTTTAAAAAAAAAGAAAAAATTCAACATATGGAGAAAAACATAAATCAATGAACTTGAAATTATGCTAATATTATACACCACCTGATATCCTCCAACCAAGTGTACAACAACACAAGCATTGGCAAAGTCAACAAGCCAGTAAGGCTCGTAGAATCCAAAATCGGTCAACAGATTGCCCGGTGTTTGATCACCGAAAGCCGCGTATCCAAAGCCTCCACAGCAGAGATAAAAGAAAGTCGTAATGCACATCGAGATTACCGCTGCCCGTTTCATGGTCACGCCTTCCGGTGGAGGTGACCTCAGGGTATCCTTCCCATTTTTTTTTTTTTTCAAAAATGTTGTGAGAATAAAAAAAAAGAAAAAATTAAAAGTCTTAAGAGTATGAGAACAAGAATATTTGGGATTACTTGTATGTGAAGAACAATCATGGAGTACGGATAGGCAAATACAATATCTCCAAGTGCTTGAGCAACTAGCAATGCCTTTTGAGTCTTAGTGGGTGTTGATATTCCACTAATGCTACCCTCAATCACTCCATTTCCTGGAAGTTAGTGATAACGAATGTCGAAAAAATGGAGTTCATACCAATGGCCCATTTATGTAATTCTGATGTGAGAAAAACAGAAAATACCAATGACTTTTGCAGCTCCTAATCCCAAACAAATGAAAGAATACATGAAAGACATGACAGCAGAAAGCACCGAAAGCCAATCCATGCTATGGAAATCGGGTATTTGAGACATAAATATCTGAACCACCCCAAAAAGAAGCATGTAAAACGTGAGTCCAAAATCACAAGGCGCGTCATGTCCGTGCTTGTGGTAACAGTTTGATCTCTCTATTGCTCTGCACAAAGCATAAAACTCAATAGTTTCTTCAGAAAGAGAAACTGAGTTAAGAAATTTTGGAGACGGTAGAAATATACCTCAGGCATTTGGAAGAGGTAATTACATAGGCAATTCCAGTCCCATAGAAGCTTATATGAATAAGTAGTGCACAAAACCAAGCACTCCTTTCACCTACAAACCATTTTTATTTTAGACAAAAACCTCACTATAATAATAAAAAAATAACCCCTAACGGTTCCAAATTTCATTATACTACTCAATTCAAGTGATATTTCTAACACTGGAGATTGTCCAGTTGTTCTTTAATAAGCTAAATAATCGACATTGCTCTTGTAATTCTCGTGTTGTTCAAAAACAAAACAAAAAAAGAATAAAAAAAATCTGAACTAATTCTTGCAATCAATGCCCATGATTAAGATGCAGAGGAAAACAAACTACATCCATATAGAGCTGAGAGCTCTAAATCAAGATCAAAAGCTTATTCGAGGTTGAATAAGGGTCGTTCATTTAATGATCGGGCCAAATTCAATAGATTACAGGCCTACCCATAACTAGAATTCGACTGTTTGAAAAATCTGTGGAAAAAAAATTGATTCTTTTTTTCTGATACAAATTTTAAGAAAAATGCTTACCAAGAAACGAGCGCACAGCATGAGTATACGATGTATTCCTGATAGGGCCATGGTGGGGGTGTTGAGACCAGTAGCAATCACAGATGAGGAAAGTAGACACAAAAGTGATGGCGGCGAAGAAGACCATCGAGAATGGGCCGACGGCCCAGCCCAGCTGAGCTATGCTCCAGCCCAGAGCAAGCACCCCGGAGCCAATCACCCCGGTTATGATATGAGCCACTGCTGTCCATATTGTTCCTTCACCATAAAAAGGGTATAAACCAATTTATCTTCACAGAAAAGGCAAAAGAATGAAAATTTTGAATTTAAGAAAGCAAATGTAAGTGGGATTAACCAGTTCTTTTGATAGCGGCGGGATCCAATAACAGGAGACGATCTGATTCTGGGAATCCCATGGTGGTTGTTAAGGAAGGAAGATTCTTTCTTTTCTTTTCTGTCCTTCACTCTTTTGTGAATTCTCTCAAGTCATTTTATTCCCTTGAACCAAAATTGCAATTTTCTGAATATTTTGCACATATAGAAAGAAAAAAAAAAATTGTTATTTTAATTTATCTCTGAGCACATATTTGTCGTAAACGAATAATGTCTTATTAAAGATGTTGTTAGACGATCAGAGTTTTGTAAGCATGTCCCCCTAT